CACAAAGTTTTCAAGCTACACTGAAAGTTAATCCACATTTTCTAACTAAATAAAAATGAGGCCATAATAAGTTATTTGTCTGCAGCCATCTTAACCCTCCTGTTATCCTCAAATTTACAAAAATTCACTAACAACTTTTATCCTTGGGGTCAATTTGACCCCAGCAATTTAAACCTCAGAGAAATTTCAAAATTCTGGTGCGAATCCTGTTTTCCCCTCGTCTATGTGATGTAGTGGTTCTTGCACTGCTACAGGTGTGGTTATGTTAGTTTAGGTGTGTTACAGTTATGGATATGTTAGCTTAGGTATGGTTATGTTAGTTTAGGTATGTTACAGGTGTGGTTATGTTAGTTTAGGTGTGTTACAGTTATGGATATGTTAGCTTAGGTATGTTATAGGTATGGTTATGTTAGGTTAGGGCCCTTAAAACAGAAAGTTTTTTTTTAAGTTTCTAAAATTGCATGTTGTTGTGACCTTGAAAACAGGACATATCTTAATGTTAAATCAGGAAAAGTCATTAAAGAAGAATAAAAAACAAAAGACGTCAATCATTTATTCAGAGATGTTAAACATTGAATGGGGTCAAACTAACCCTAAAGATAATAGGTGGTTAATGAGGGTTAATGAAAATGAAAAAGATCAAACCCTGAATTTTTTGTTTTCTTGTTTGTCTTAGCAGATTCGCCGCAAGTTGATCATGTTGGTTGGATAGTGCTAAACTACAATTTTCAGTATTGCCACATATTATAAATGGGGTCAAAGGCAGGGCTTTGACTAGGTCCCTGAAAAAACACTCACCTTGTTGCTTTGGCCTTGTGCTTGGAATCATTGACGTGCTGAAAGGTGACTTCTTAGATTCTTATTTCCATAAACAGAAAGCACTGTAAGAGAAAATAGGAACCTATGAAACTGAAGCTTTGCTGAAAATATACTCTATATTTCCAAAAGTATTCGCTCGTCTGCCTTCACACGCATATGAACTTGAGTGACATCCCATTCTTAATCCATAGGTTTAATATGATGTCGGCCCACGCTTTGCAGCTATAACAGCTTCAACTCTTCGGGAAGGCTTTCCACAAGGTTTAGGAGTGTGTTTATGGGAATTTTTGACCATTCTTCCAGAAGCGCATTTGTGAGGTTAGACACTGATGTTGGATGAGAAGGCCTGGCTCGCAGTCTCCGCTCTAATTCATCCCAAGGGTGTTCTATCGGGTTGAGATCGGGACTCTGTGCAGGCCAGTCAAGTTCTTCCACACCAAACTCGCTCATTCATGTCTTTATGGACCTTGCTTTGTGCACTGGTGCGCAGTCATGTTGGAACAGGAAGGGGCCATCCCCAAACCGTTCCCACAAATTTGGGAGCATGAAGTTGTCCAAAATCTCTTGGTCTGCTGAAGCATTAAGAGTTCCTTTACACTGGGCACAATGTAGTCAGACAAGCACCGTTCTCCTGGCAAACGCCAAACCCAGACTCGTCCATCGGATTGCCAGATGGAGAAGCATGATTCGTCACTCCAGAGAACATGTCTCCACTGCTCTAGAGTCCAGTGGTGGCGTGCTTTACACCACTGCATTTGCTTGGTGATGTAAGGCTTGGGTGCAGCGGCTTGGTCATGGAAACCCATTCCATGAAGCTCTCTACGCTGTTCTTGAGCTAATCTGAAGGCCACATGAAATTTGGAGGTCTGTTGTGATTGACTCCGCAGAAAGTTGGTGACCTCTGTGCACTATGCACCTCAGCATCTGCTGACACCGCACTGTCATTTTACATGGCCTACCACTTTGTGGCTGAGTTGCTGTTGTTCCCAATCGCTTCCCCTTTGTTATAATACCACTGACAGTTGACTGTGGAATATTTAGTAGTGAGGAAATTTCACGACTGGACTTGTTGCACAGGTGGCATACTATTACAGTACCACACTGGAATTCACTGAGCTCCTGAGAGCGACTCATTCTTTCACATAGATTGCAGAAGTAGTCTGTATGCCTAGGTGCTTGGTTTTATACACCTGTGGCCATGGAAGTGATTGGAACACCTAAATTCAATGATTTGGATAGGTGAGTGAATTCTTTTGGCAATGTAGTGTAATCTTTTAACAGGACAATGTTGAAAGATTAATTATACTCAAGCCAGGAATTAACAGTGATTATTATACAGAAAGAGCTGGTTAGATTCTGTAGAGAACTGTACAGACTGACTGAAGTACTGTACAGTCTACTACAGAACCTAACCAGCTCTTCGTGTGTAACAAAACACTGATAAGTCCTGGCTTAAGTGACCTGATGATATGCACTTTCCACTGTGATAGTGAGAAGACTGTGGCACTGTGGCATGCAATTTAATCTCTATACTGAACAAATGCTCAGCTCTTCCTCCTGACTGAGCTCATCTATCCCAGAAAGCTACACTAGTATGCAGACTCTGAAATAAACACTCAGCATCTGACTCTAGTTATAATAAGGCTGTTAAATCTTTTGCTTGTACTGATATTAAATGTGTTGTCAAAAGTTATGTAGATTACTTTAATAAAATCAGTTGTGCTCATGCAGTATTACCCAGAATCAGGTAGATGATTCACCTGTGTCTCCAAATTGTATAAATAACTTTAACCCTCCATGCATTCTGTTAATATATTTGAAATATTTGGCTAAAGTTTACCTTTTTAAGTAGTTGCAAAGTATACTATACATATTTCAATAACTTTTAGAGCTTAAACATATACAGTGAAAGTATACAAAAATAAAAAAAAATAAAAATCAAAAAACCAAACTGAATATAAAAAAGACTTTTAGATCTTCCCTTTTAATGTAATTAAACATCAAAATCAATATAGTAAAGAGTCATGGACAGCAGTCTAGTCTTTACATTTCAAACACCAACAATTCTAAACAGCACTATGACAACATACACCCATGAATAATGTAAATTGTGATGTCACACTTGAACACTGTGATGTCACAACCTTCTAAGCTCAGAATATTACCTATTCATTCATTCATATAATAACTGCAGATATATTCAGCTCATATTCTGTGAAATTCCATTTAATCTTCAAATGATCATCCTAAATTTAGCTGCTGTACAGGGAAAGAGGAAAAGGACAGAGGAGGGATGCAGACAAAAAACAAATAGAGCAGGAATGAGTGACACTTCAACAGGAAAGAAAAGTACGGACAGTAAACTAGACCAACACAATGACTCGCAGACAGAGGAAAGCTGTTATGCTAGGTCAGCCCATTGTCCAGTCCACTGCACAATGTGAACACCTACACTGCACATTTAACGGTTATAACATTTCTGCAAGTAAAATAGAATCTAAAGCACTTGGCTAATGTAAAAAATATGGTGCAAAACACTGATCCTAAGAGAAAAATACAGCCAAAATCTCTTAACTGTTAAGTGTATAAAAATAAAACTCAGAATATTTTGGTGATCAGATGTCCTGCTGTTCAGGATGGTACATTTAGTACATTTATTGTAAGAAGTCTGACAGCTTTTATTGAAAAAAAATTACTTTGCACTGAGAAAATGGCATACATGGATTTTTTAAATACAGATTTACAATGACTATTTTTATCAGCTCTTTGTGTGCAGGATTTAATACTGAATGTGTGTGTAAGATGATTGTAACAGGTGCATTTGTAGGCCTGTTGTTTAGATCTGCATGCCTGTGTATGATGGTTGAATGTGATGATGTCACAGTGACTCTCAGGACACAGTGCTACACAAGAGAGTCACGCACACGCATACAATCTTGTTTCTGCCATTACATAAACGTCCGTTCATTTCCTAGAGATTTGCCTAAACCATAAAAAGAACTGCTACTAACCCAAACCTCATCCTTGCCCTAACCTTAACTTTTAAATTTAATTACATTGTGGGGACCAGCTTGAGACCCCCAAAAGGAAGAAAGGTCCCTACAACGTGAGTTGGGTTGAAGCTGTTTGATAATTGCATTCTAATGTCACTGATTTTCCTGTGTCTCTCTCTCTTCTCCACTGCAATCTGTGAAAAAAGAACAGCAGAACTATAAAAGGAAAGTGATTTTAAAAGAGCAGATGTCTCAGCCAGTGTCTCATGGGTTATTGTGGGTGAAAAATAGAATGAACAAGAGCAAACAAACTGAGTGAAGAAAAAGGAGGAGCTCATACAGCTCAGAACTACTGACTATTTAATGTGTGTCTCCCCCTTCTGGCTTTACAGAGCTTCAGCATGACTGTAATAATTACAGTATCTGTCATTTATCATTTGATTGAAGGAGTTTAATTTTATCTTCTTACATTTAATTTAGTCAGTGAATGAGACTATTTCCCCTGAGTAAAATGCACTTTGCTTTTGAGAGAAATGCATGTAAAAGTGGTGTCGTCACAGTGGGCCTCAGGACACAGAAGTACAAACTGGATGTAGCTGTTAAAGTAAAGCAGAATTTAAAGATGCACCAGATCTTTTACTAGATGAGCTTGTTCATTGTCTGGGCACTTCCTACTAATTATTTAAAACCTGTACATTTTCATAGTACTAGAATCAATTTATAAATCTATTTATTAATCTATTTGCCTCTAACCACCAGTTAAACGTCTAGACACACCTACTCACAGAAGGCTTTTTTAATTTTAACTATTTCCCAAATTTTATAATAACAGTGACCAAAAAAGGTATTAAACAAGTATTAAACAAACAAGATTGTATTTTAGATACTTTTAGAAATTAGCCTCTTTGCTTTCACACAGCTTTGCACAATCTTGGCATTCTCAGAAGCAGCTTTATGATGCTTTTCTTTACTTTGTTTTTATTTAAGTGATTTTTGTTTTGTATATAATGTATAATTAAAATTATATTTATTTCTGTTTTTCATACACTGTAGCATCCTTCTATGTTTCATGTAATTATGACACTTCAAATGGATGCTGTTCCTTCCATTCCAAATCTTTATGCTGCAGAGCTTCATATTCAGTCTCTGTAGTGGGAGGTTTTTGTACAGTGTAGCTGGGTTTCCTGTCACTGTGGGCTGCAGGGCACAGTAGTAGAGTGCAGAGTCTGATACTGCAGCAGAGGAGATCACCAGATTTACACGATTATTCTCTATAACTTCAGCAGACATACGAGGGGGAAGAGGTTTGCTTGTACCCCCTTGTGGGTAAATGTAAAGGAGAAACTCTGGTCTGGATCTGGGAAACTGACGATACCAGTGAAGAGGGTCATTAGTGCTGATGCTACTGTAGTTGCAGGACAGAGTAACTTTATCTTCCTCTGAAACATGAATTTCTCCTGCAAGTGGAACAACTGTCTGTGCTGATGTGTCTCCTGGAAAAAGGAAATTATTGAGGAAGCTCCAATCTCTCACACAACATTCGACATAATCTGCTAGAGATATAATTTAATAGAGATTTAAACTTCACTACATGTTTATCTTTTACATGGTTTACATGTTTCTCATAACAGTTAGAAAATAAATGTCATTAAAATGATCTTACCTGAAAGCAACACTAGGAGAGAAAGGATAGAGAACAGCATGTTGATAGATATGTGAAGTGACTGAGAGCAGAGTCAGAGCTGAATGGGATTAGTGTAGCTGCTGAAGTACACAGCTCCACCCATAATGCAGCTGATACTCCTTTTTATCTCGAAATCGTTTTGAGTTCATGTTTATCCTGATTGTAAAGCAAAGGTTTGTGTGGAAAAATCTCTGATGCTCCTTCTTTCTGTGTAATACGTAGTTGTTCTTTAAAAATCTTTAGTCTGTTTTCATATTTTGCTACATTTGTCTTTCTCATCTAGTTTGGTTATACTTTTAGCCTCATGGCCTGTGGCTTTGTCTAGACACTTAGTTTGTGCATCTGATTATGGTTTAAACCCTGTGTAACTAAGTTACACTAAAACTACAATTCATCTGTGAGGAAAGACCTTTTTGTTACACAGACTTAATAGATTTAAGACTTTAAGACTCAAAGAAGGCACAACAGTACCTCCACTTACTAAGGAGACTGAAAATGGCTCAACTGTTTCTACAAAAGTATCATAGACGAGCATCCTGGCCTGCAGCATTAAGGTCTGGTATGGAAACTGCTGTCTCAGACAGGACATTGAAGACTGCCCAATCCATCACTGGGTCAAACTTCCCTGTCATTAAAGACACACACAATGAACCATGTAAAAGGAAAGCATGCAGCAGCAGGAAGGATCCCTCTCACCCATCACATGGTCTGTTTACACCACTCAAATCTGGAAGTAGGCTATGGAGCACCCAGGCCAAGTCTTCCAGACTCATGAACAGTTTCTTCCCACAGGCAGTCAGGCTGCTGAACAGATCTACCTGACGGACCTTTAAACATTCTCATTGAGCTGCTCTGTACTTTGTCTGCAGTTTTATTGATCTAAAAAAACATGCACAACTACTATCGCTGCTGTGGACCAACAGCTGGTCTGTTTTGTCTGCTGTCCTGTGCTTAATGGTTGTACAGTTATGGTTATTATATATGCTGTACAAGAGAATTTATTGTATATTGTGTTTGTATTTATTGTATTTGTTGCCTCTCTGCACTGTAGCTGCTGTTCTATGTTATGTGAGTCCTAGAGAAACTACGTCATTCTTCTCTCAACACATTTGTGATGAGAAGAAATGACAAATGGCTGACTGACTTTGAAAGGATACCTTTATGATATGCTTGGTTGACTATTGAACATTTACTGACCAATACAGTTATGTACATTATATAATAACATCTATATAGCTTGGAGAACAAAATTCTGGCATGGGCCACCATTACTGTGGAATGCTTTCAACATGTTATTGAGCAATTGTCCTGATGCACTGAGCCTGTCCTCAAGACAAAAAAGGGATCAACAAAGTATTTACATGATGGTAATGTTGTCTACATTCAGCATAAGACACCAGGAAACTTGTAGAAGAGCTAGAGAGAACCAGAAGAAAGCCTAAGCTGGTTTAAATAAACACATTTTTGTACTACCTTTTCAATAAAATTTCTTGGATTTAAATGTAATTATGTGAAACATTGATTTAACTTTAATATGTATCTAACTGACTGGTTTGTAGATGTTACTTGAACAAAACACAGAATTTGTGGTTGTATTTTATCGGCAACAGTCTATAACAGACCTATAAATGAAGAAATTAAGAGAGAAAGAAAAAAGAAAGAAGGAAGATCACCTTTACAAAAAGAAGACAAGCGCTCCACCTTCTGGTAGACAGTTGCATAAATTAACAGGAAGCATTTTATATATATATAGTATATATATATATATATATATATATATATATATATGAAGACAGCAGAAAGAGTTATAGCCTATTGTTGCTTCTTAATGACAGTTTTCCATGAATGCTAATTGTTAGAGATATTTTGTCTGTTTGTTATACACAATGCTATGGCATTACATAGGCATTACATAGACTATTGAGCTGCTCTGTGTACACTCGAAGAAATATTAAGTACAGCAAAGTACAGAAAGGAGTGCATATGCATATAGTAGATATTAAGCTGCATTGAATGATGCAGTGCTGTTAGCTCATTTAAAACGGCAAATCATCTGTTCTTACAAAAGTGTGGTGTTCCGCAAGGCTCTCTATTAGGACTTCTATTTTTCACATCATAAATGCTAACACTGGGTACCATTATCGGTAAACCTGGCATCAATTTCCACCGCTACACTGATGACACACAATTATATATATTGACCAAACCAGATGATAAACTTTAACTTAATAAGACTGAGGACTGCATAAAAGACTGTATGTTGAATAACTTCCTCCTACTCAACTCAGACAAAACAGAGGCTCCTTTTCTTAGTCCAAAAGCTGCTAGAAACTAACTGTCCGATTTAACCCTTAAACTTAATAGTTTCTCAGTTGCATCAGATACATCTGTAAAAAACCCTGGTGTCACGATAGATCCTGATCTGTCCTTCGATGCACATATAACCAATATTACTAGAATAGCTTTTCCGCCATTTTGCCAAATTAAGAAATGCACTGTCTCTACAGGATGCAGAAAAGCTACCTCAAGGCTAGATTACTGCATGGCCCTGCTGTCTGGATATTCCAGTAAAAGCTTCAGTTAGACCAGAACACTGCAGCCTGACACTGAGTCCTTACAAGAACTAGAAAGTTTGACCATGTCAGCCCAGTTTTATCAAAACTGCACTGGTTACCAGTTAAATTCTGCATGGAGTATAGAATTCTTTTACTGACACATGAAACTCTAAATGGCCCCTCAGGATCTGAGTGAACTTCTCTCAAACTATGAACCATCACACCTACTTAGATCACAAGGTGTTGGCTTACTATTGATACCTAGAATTAATAAAATTACATCAGGGGGTAGAGCCTTCTCATACAAAGCCCCCCAGCTTTGGAATAATCTTCCAGTCAGTGTTCAGGACTCAGCCTCAGTCTTTAAGTCTAGGCTAGAAGCCTACTTGTTTAGTCAAGCCTTTAGTAATTAGTTTTTCCTTTTAGATGAAGGGTGCAAATCTGGGGGTTCATGGACATCGAGTATTATGGTATACTGGGAGTGTTGCTGCTGTTGTCCTGCTGCTCTCAGAAATAACTGTCTGTGTGTTTCTTTGCCGAGCAAACAACTGCCCATCCTGTTTAGTCTGATGCTGTTGCTTCATCTGCCTTTATTGGGTGACCATTGCTCTCCAGTCTTCTGGACCAGTCTGACCACCATGGGGCTTCCTGTTGTACATCGCTGTGCAAACCTCACCTGCATGAACTGACCCTCCTGATGATGCTGCTGCTGCACAGACCCAAACTATTTAATCACAGCCATTGCTTCTCCTGGTTTTCCCCTTTTCTGTATCTTATATCTATATTAATGGTCAAACCTTATCCTCTGCTCATATTGCTCTTGTGTTACTGTTTGCTATCCGGTATTGACCAGAGGAGGATGGGTTCCCCTTTTGAGTCTTGGTTCCTTTCAAGGTTTCTTCCTTACGCTCTTAGGGAGTTTTTCCTTGCCAGTGGTACCATTGGGTTGCTCATGGGGCTAGGACCCATATTTTGTGTTAAAAAAAAACACAGTATCAGCTTATTGTAGTCAACAAGAGGATGGTTTGTCTTCCAAAGCATTCTTGCATTATAAACTGAGGGTTGAAAAGGCTGAAAGTCAAAATGGAAAAGGCAAATAGCTCCCCCTCCTGACAACAACACTGCTCTGTATGATTCATATGAAACAGTTTTTGTACAGTGTAGCTGGGTTTCCTGTCACTGTGGGCTCCATGGCACAGTAGTAGAGTGCAGAGTCTGATACTGCAGCAGAGGAGATTATCAGATCCACTCTGTTTTCGTCCACTGTAGCATTCAGTCGTTGGAGCAGAGAACTCGCTCGCGTTACAGATTTTGTTGACGGATATATTATCAATAAATACTCTAGTCTGGATCCAGGATACTGACGATACCAAAACAGATAGTTTGCTTTCTCATACTTGCAGGAGAGATTAGCTCTCTCACCTTCAAGAGCATGAACCTGCATTTTGTCCTCTAGTGGTGCTATTGACTGTGAAACACAGCTCCCTGTAGAAAATATTTAATAAAAAAGCATAACATTTACATCAGCGTTCAGTGCTGTATAAAAGATGAATTTCCACAGAACGTCTACAGAACTTATAGCAGAATTTGTCACTGACATACACATTACCATAATATCAAAAACAGAAAAAACATGAGTGTAAAAAACGGAGTCAGCTACACATACCTAGCATGATCATAAACAGAGTGAGAGAGCACAGAGACATCATGGTGGTTCCAGTGTTCAGATAATGAGGAGAGATTTGGTGCTGCTGTTCAAGCATGTAAAGACTCCTCCTACATTTGTCAGTGGATCTGTTATAAGAACAGAGGAGTGTAGATCAGGAGAATAACACAGCAGCTTCTGTGATCCTGAGCCAAATAAACTTTACCATGAAAAGTTAAAGGGGCCTTTCGACTTCGAGTTCACGTTGGACGCTCACCCTGACCCTGACAGAGTTTCTCCCACTTTTCTCCTCCTCTCTCCTCGCATTTACCACGTTTATTACTGCTTTGGGCCATTACTTATATTTCGTTTCTATTATTACACATAAAATACCTTAAGTTGCAACTTTTTCTAAGGTGTAATTTATCTTCACTTAAAATTAAATTCATTTTCCAATTCAACTCGCTTTTCGTTTAAATTTATTTTAAAAAAAAATCTTAAATATTATAGCTCTGGCTTATTTATATTGGTTTAAAAATAAATAATTTGCAATTATAATGTACAGTTCATCTGTATTTCTTAAAAATGATTTATTTTCATCGTTAATATTTTTTCATATGGATTTATTTATAAATAGGATTTATTTTTATGACTGATATTTATTTTGTGTGCCTTTGTTACTTTTTTTTTTCTTTTCAAAACTGATGTTTTACAGCCAAGCAAGCGATTTAATGTAATGTTTTCTTTGTAGAACTTTGAGGTTCTGCTGTTTGGAATGCATATCATATCATCATTATGCAGTTTCACCCGTAGATCATTACATTAAAAATAAGCATATTT